ATAAAGGGCATTTACCGAAAGAAAGTGTTTTCTGATATTAGTTTTAATGAACATGGGCACGTTTCTGATATGAAGAAATGCCTCAAAACAGGAAACCACATTGTCGAGAGTGAATCATGTCCGCACTGGAGTTGTGAAACTACTATTCCTAAGATTTATAAAAAAACTTTCCATAAAAGGGTACCTCTTAGAAAGTGCTTTAATTAGATATTCGGCTGACGAACTTCTGCGTATATTTACTTTTTCCAACGTAATGTCACAATGAAATTTGAGAATTTTGAGAATTTCGTGTCAGTGGCGTGATGTGTACTGGCGGCCTTTCTGTGAGATGAGAAATCATGGGAATGGGCGCATTCACAGCAAATACGACCTAGAATTCGGGTAACATGCCGACACATTCGAAAGTTTGGTACTCTTTCGCTAATCAACATTAAGAAAGGTTGTAATAATGATTATCGCGTGGCCTATTCTCAAGTCGTTTCAGTCACGATAGCACGCTGGCTTTTTAACGAGCTTCAATCTGAGCGCTAACAAAACGTAGGAACTGTAAAAATTGACTACTGAAGTTGTATGCATTTTTATCATTTATTTTGACTGCCTTTATAAATTTAAATATATTTTAGCCAAAAAATAAACGAAACACTTACTAATTGTACCCTTTGAGTAGAAAATTACGCCTTCTTGAAATTTATACTTAAAGAAAGGGTTTTGGTTTTAAAAAAAGTTTCTAAATGCAAGGTTTAAAAACTGCGCGCTGTGTACATCCTGTTTAAAGAAAATTACGTTTTCGCCTGCGGTTTGAGGAAGAAGTCACAAATTTCTCAGAAAATATTGCAACAGATGTGGAATATGTTGTATGCATTATAGGCAGCATTAACTAATTGACTTATTTGGTGAATAATGAATGCGCACCTCACAATCGTAAAAAAGCTCATAATTAGACAGTTTATTTTAAATCAACCAATACGCTTTCTTAAAGAATAAATGTAAAGATTGTGTTTTTTTCTACCAAACGAGTACACGAAATATTTTTTTCATTTATGCTATCTATAAAACATATTTAATATTGAAATATTTGCATCCTAAGATATTAATTATGAGAATAAGAATTTCTTTGGAAATTTCTACGTCTGACGACGACCGGTGGGTCCGTGTCAAAATTTACGCAATAAAATTGAAAAATTCCCAAAGAAATTCTTATTCTCATATTTTAATATATAAAGGCAGTCAAAATCAATGATAGAATGCAGACTAGTTATGTAGCCACTTTTTACAGTAAATGCCTTTTGCTAGCGGTAAGAAAGAAGCTAGTTAAAAAGCCGGCATCCTACCGTGACTGAAATGGCTTCACAATAGACTACATGATAATTAGTATTGCAACCTTTCTCAATGCCGATTAGCGAGAAAGTATCGATCTTTCGTATACGTCGGCATGTTACATGAATTGTAGGCCGTACTGTACACACAAAAACTGTCGTAATAAAATTGTTCTCTGCTATCCTGTCTGGCTTCTATTCCCCACAAAAACTGACACCATACAATTGGGAAACATAAAAAAAACATGAATTTTGAAATCATTTCCCTGATTTTTTATTTGCTGTATGCACAAACCGTACACGTCACCAACGATAGTCGTGCGAAAACCGTTCTTTGTGGGTGATAACTTAAAACCTGCAATCGGTGCCTACATTTTTAAAATCTGCTTATACTTTAAGATAGTAAGTTACATGTGATCGCGAGATCAACTTAAAATTAGGAATTTTTAAGTATATTCAGGACTGACAGACATTCCACTTTCTTATTTTCTTCAGCTCTTCCACCGCTATGGTTGCGTACTGAAAATTATCGTGTTTAAAATGTCCGGCCGAAACCAGGCATTTGTTGAATTCGCCAGTCCGGTATCTGCTCATGTCGCCCTCTTGGTGAGTTTTCTAGGTCTCAATGAATCCTTTCGCATTGCGCGACTGCCCTGTCTCTTTGTATTTCAAGTGCAGGGTGATGGCTGTCAGTACGAACCTATTCAGGGAGTTGTGCGCTTGCCGAAAACACGAAGAATATAAATGCAATCTCACACTGCATACAGTTTCGTCATTCACCTTCCAAACATTACCAGGTTCAACTCTCCCCCCAGCTTTTATTTTATAAACAATTTCTTGGTAATTGATAAAACTGAGCTGCCAGGAGACGGTATCCAACACCTTATCACCATTTAAACCATAATATCCGAATTCCTTAATGTTAGGAGCAAGTGTATTAAATAGCCGGATAGCCTAGCCTGATTACTAATACAAGCGAACATGCGAGTCCCAGGAAGTAATTGAGAGGAAGAAGAAGACGACTCGATCGCCGGGACAATATGGTTATTCGCCTGACGTTTCGAAATCCGTTGCGGATTCATCATCAGAGACATGCTCATAGGCCACCACATCATCTTATGCCAACACCACAAGGCCAGATGGACATTGCTGACACAATGAATCAGCGCACAAGCAAAAGCATTTATCGATTTTTTCTGTACGTTCAAATTTTACGCGGAACCCTGTGCACACAAAAACTGTTTCTGCGACTGTTCTGTGAGTATGTCTCTGATGATGAATCCGCGAGGGGTTTCGAAACCTCAGGCGAATAAACATACTGTCCCAGCGATCGAGTTGTCTTCTACCTCTCAGTAGCCTGATTACCTCTGATGGCCGATGGTCATAGGTTAAAATAGGGATTTGTAAGGTAAGGGTCACCAAAAGGTGCCTGCCAGCTATAATGGAGCAAATTTTCTCTTTTAGTTATCGAATAATTGAATGCACAATGGGAATTCTTATCACCAATCTCGGATAAGTCCACAGCTTACTAGCTATCTCAGAATTAATTATTGATATTTTTTGTAATTCTGATTGCAGCAAATGGATGGCACGCTGTTGTGCACAACTCAGGCAAAACTCAAAGTCGAATTCTCGAGACAGACTTCATTGGAACTGCGACAGGATGATAATACCAGCCGTGACTTTATTGCCCAACCACTCAGTGCTCAAGAACAGGCTGAAATAGCCTCAACCGCTTTGCTAGTTCAGTCAGTCTGACAACTCTGCTGCTGCTTTATTATTCATACGTTCCGAAGAAAATATTTTTGTTAGAAACATGACTTCTTTTCTATACTGCCCTAGTTACTGACCCCGCTCAATGTTGACGTAACTTATTGCGCTTCACGGGCCACTTGTTTATTTCAAATGATCCTAAAGCAGGCACGAGTAAGAAAAAATTGTTTAGCATTCTTCCTTTCATCCTGACGCAGTTAAATTCTGTATGCTTCAGTATATCCGATGGCAATAGATGCTGTGTTTGACTACCATACTGGAAACATGACAATTCCATGGACCAAACAGTTGCCATTCTACTTCTATGATTTCAGTAGCATTATTATCGCGTCGAAGTGATGTGAAAGATGGGGACTGGTACCCATGCACCTATAATAAGTGCTAAGACCGAGGACTAATAGCATACATTCCCATTTACGGTAGGCCTGGGCAAGGCTTTGAGTAAGCCTAACGACATTTCCTGATTATACGTAATTACTAGATGCTTTCATGTTATAGATACTTTACCTTTTCATCCAAGCGAACGTTTTTTCCACTCGGGCCTTCAAGTTTCAAAGTCACCTTCTCCAAAGACATAAAAATGGGGCATAAATGGTGCACTTTCGATCTTAAAGCTTTTTGAAACAAACTTTGGAAGTTGGTTAAATTTTGCTCAATGGGACTACTTTTGTAAAACTGTTTATTTATCTCGAACTTAACATGCTGAAGTACGTTGTATGAACCATTATCACATATAAATTTTGCTTTAAACCCACAAGTTTAGCAGGCAGGCACTGCAAAGCTGAGAGACTGATCCAAAAAAAATTTCGGTGACCAGTCCTGTCCACCAGTCAATCCTACATTATGGGGGTAGAAAACTTAGTTATCATTGTTGTTAATAGTGTCCTCAAATGTATCAAGGCCCTGACAATGCAATCGGATGAAGTTGTCCCATTTTCTGACCCCAGCGCCCTCCTCATGCCCTTTAACAGCCGCGTAAAAACCAACTGTGAGTGGGTTTTGTGATGACAAGAAGTCTTCAGAAGCGGATCATCAAAGCTTTGGATTAACGAGTGTGGCTTCGGTACTTATATTAACATACATGAGGAAACCACAGAGCAAGGTATAGTTACGTCAGAGGAATTGGTATCAGCCAGTATTATGTGTAGGTTGTTCTCCAATACACGCAAAACTGTTGGTAGTAGGGCACTCAGCGATCTGGTTACAGAGCATGCTCGTCCCTTTGTGCTTTGAAACTCAGTCTAGAGCCCTCGCAGGTAGTCGCGTACAATTTTTGTAACATACAATGGAGTGGAACCCAAAAAGACCAGGGAGACCGAAATGGCTATTTCTGGCGTATTAGCTTTCATCAGCTGGCCATATCAACCCCAAGTGTCTTTGTCAGTTCCACATCATCCCATACGAAACTACATTCGTTAGGCATTGGCCTAAGTTCGGGGCTCTATTCAGCAATGCCATATTCGTGACGGACCGCGCTGAATGCTAAGGGCCTTATAAACTCCGTTGACTCTTATCAGACTTCCCAGTTGGCTTATTCTACCTTTTCATAAGAACAGTGTTGATCTAAAGAAAGTTCAAGAAGACCACACACACAGGCACACAAAAAAACAGTTTACAAAATGCACACTTCAATCGCACAGGCTACATCAGTTGGTGAAGAGACAGAAGACTTAAACGGCCGACAATAAGGCCAAGCTGATATACTTCCGCCAAATCTTTGAGATGAACGAGGGAGTGGGGGAACAAATAAAATATTCAAAATTCAAGTGGAGAGGTCACATTTCAACGGGATTTCGTTTGCAAAAAAGGATTTCTGAAGTCAGCTCTCAATTACAATTGTTTTTAAATAATCGTAGATTATTTTCAATTGAAATAGTAACGACCTCACGAAGAGAACTCAGACACAGTCTACATGATCAATTTCGGGTCTACTGACAAAAATTGTGACATACAGTGTCAGAAAGATCCGATAGGCAGATAATAAAAACGCTACATGGCCACAGCATTTTCCGAACCAGGTTTGAGTTCCTCCTTGTTCGGGAGGCTAGATGAATAAGAGAAGACAAAGAAGAAGGTAAATTCGCGAACCAAAGTCCTTTCTCAGTGTCCCGATCACAGAGTAATTTTTAAGCAAACTAATTCTCTCAGAGCATACCACACACTTTCTTATCATCATTTCACGAATGTTGGATGCTGAATAGGTGGGATTTCTCTTCCGTTCTGATGGTGCTCGCTGACGCTGAGCTCTGTGCCAGGCTCCATGCTGAGAGCAATGGTTCTGACTCTGCAGCCCGCAATCGGTTAATTCTTCAGCCGACAGCGAGCAACCGTTCGCCGACGCACGTTTACTTGGTGCAGAATACCGGATCCATAACACTGAGGGAAGACTTACCACAGTATGCATTTGTGTCAACTCTTTCCCGTCCCGAACTTCAATCATTCGACGAGCTGCGGTGTTCTTTTTCCTGAAAAACACTAGAATGAATGGCAAAAGTAGCTTATGTAGGCCCACTCATATACCCCTAGTGACAGCATTTTGTCCTGCAAAAACGGTTGTTTTAGAGTTTTGGGGGGTGTGGAAATAGGATAGACGGAGAAGGAAATTTCCAAGTGTAAAGTGAATAAATGTAGTCGAAGTTGCTTCCCGCGGCCGCTGGGAGTAAGTTGTTCCGAATGTAAATTGAAGGCGTGCGCGGCGCTTAGCGCCGCGGACTATACTAGTCTAACTCCAGAACGGTAAGTAGGACCTCAGCTAAGTTGGAGTAGACGACCTCCTAACCACCATTTCAATTTTTTGGGCGATTCAAGAAACCTGCAATTTAACAATTGGGTTTTTCCGCAATAAGTTGTACGATAATACAGATTAGGAAAATCTACAGATTTAAATCAACAACACTTCTAAAAACAGTT